AGTAAAATAACGTTGGGACCCAACAATTTTGCACATGAAACTTTTCTTAAGCTTTACATAATCCAAAACTTCGATGCACACCCCACTTGAATAAAATGCAGAGACTAAATAGACCATAACATGAAGCTGTGGAATACACCGTGTCTTTACCCTGTCGGGACTCGTAATCGCAAGTGTAACAGGTTCAATGCAGTGCCACATCTTTAGGGGTTTGTAAAAGCAACTTTTGTCTGACTACTATAGACACGACGAAAAATCCCGACCTTGCAATATTTTTGGACCGCTACACTGCAAGAATTATGACAGGATTGACAGCCGATCTTTGCCAGCAGATCCCGTATTGAAATGACGGTGTCACCGTACAAACACGGCACCAAAATCTGGTAGAGAATATATCAGCACGGCGGACGACCGTACAATTATTTAAAAAAACAAAAAAACAAAAACAAAACGTTACAGTAAGGACGTATTTTGAAACCGTACGTCGACCGTACGCACACTCGTAATCGCCTTTCACGGTAAAAAACGTTTCTTAGATCTTATAGAGGACGCCAGTCGTATCCATAAACAGTCCTGAGATTCAAGAATGTTTTTTACTGTGTTTATGCCACGATGGCGCCGTACTAGAGGTTAACAGCACTGGTGCAAACAGCATGAACGGTCGTGCCACACATCATCCCGTACTGGCCTTAGAATTTTTACAGTGTGCCTGAGATTGTGCAAGGTAGCAAACGCGTTTATATAGTGTGTAATGGTGCATGTGCTAAAAATGGCATAGCGCAAGAGTAAGACAACCAGCGTAACATGTAACATATTTGACACCGTCGTGTGCAGTGTTGGTAGATAAGCTTCTACTGTCCTCCGCGCCGTTCGGTCAGCCCGCCTTAAATGAGGTGGCACTAATCCCTGCCTGCTCGCTCTTCTCCGTGTCTTCCTTCCCTCACCCCGCTTTCCCCCGGCCCATGCGCGCAGTACTCTGCTCACAGACAATGAAATTTTAATATTACGAATTATTCGAAACTTTTCAGACCACGAAGCCCGTACGTACAAATTAAAACAGTGGCGCATACCCAGACAGCCCACAAATAGCAAACTATGAAAGCTTATTTGGGTGAAGTTGTGGCGGGCAGTATCTAGACAAGTACGCACCCACCACGCGCCGGCAATGGCTTGAGCCGTGATGGGCACCCGTGCCCAAGCTACACCGAAGACCAGGCTGACCTGCGTGACGTGTTGGACGACTACCCTATCCCCCTTAAGGATTAGCGACGCCTCGTTTGTCAACACGTCAACACTCGCAGCACACTCGGTGTGGATGGGGTGGGCGTGATGCCGCGCAGTGCGAGGATGATTATCGGAAGGGTGGATGTGAGAATCAAGAGAAATGTCCAAAAAATGGCGAGAAGAGGGAAGAAAATATAAGGAATGGCAGGAAAAGGGACAAGATAAAAGAGGAATTATAACGAATATCACTGATGAGCCAACATAAGCACGTAAGTCCACCAACCCTAATTTAACAGGAGACACTTAAAACATTCCAGATTGAAGAATTCTAGTGGTAACCCAATCTGCTAAGCACAAATAGGAAGTTTAGAAAAAGAGCGATATGATAAGCAGACTTCATTCACTAACTTTTCGTTACCTAGTCATGGGCTCCCCTCTCACTCTCAACGACACTCAGTAGAGTTTAACTCGACTGGAGGACCATGGATGATAAGGGATCATCCAGAAAGTACGTCAGCCATTCGCCGTTACAGACCCTTCAAATGAAAGCAATGCAAGCGCTCATGGCGCCTGCTGGGTAGGCAAAATAATGCATGCCGTGCATGCGGGTATTGCGGGATGGCCTACCTCAAGTTTTGCAGGCGCCGAGCTTCTATAATTTGCAGGATGATTTTGAGATAAACGGACGTACTTTCTGGACGATCCCTAAACCAACCTCACTGAACACCATACCCCAGAGCTACCGCAGCCGTTTAAACCAAGGGCAGGAAAGTCCAGACTTGAATGGGACACCTTGTACCGGATGTTCTCTGGGTGAACTCCACGTACGCAGTAATCCTGAGTCCCCCCCCCCCCTCCCATCTGATTTACAGACGCCTCGTCCCCCCCCCCCTCTCTCTCTCTCTCATTTCTTTCCCGCCCTCCCAAGAATTTTTAGCGTGCGTTAGAGTGAACTGATATTGTTGGAATAGTTCATCAGATGTGGTGGGTCGGCAGATGGAGCAGTCACTATGGCGTCGATCACTAAGTTCGATCTTGGTTACGGAACATGGAGTTCCCCTGCGGCTTTGGGAGTGAAGAGCTGTGTGCATGTACCTCCCTTCGCCGACTCATTGTTGCGATGTATCACCTTTACAAATAGCTACGCATTCAATAAAATCAACGAACCATTGCTGGACTCGCGTCGCTGTCAAGTCAATCAATTTACCTCAATGAAACCATCAACAGCTGATTCATTCACAATAAACACAGAAGGCTGGATTAAGCTCTTACCCTTCAACACGCCTAGTTTCATTTACAAGATTTGAAGGGTGTTTCCTTCACTTGTTTCTTGGTCCACGGTTT